CTGAGCTCCCCCAAATCCCGTGACTGCAGAGGTTCTGGCACCAGAAGGACTTCCCATTGACCTCCACTATTTCCTCTGGGAGGAAATCTTGGATTCTACTTCGTTTTCTGGGACGTACGCGTGACGCTGTGACCCCGGGGCGGGGGGGGAAACCCCGCAGGGACATTTATGGCCAGGCAGCTAAGGCTCTGCTGAGTCCCCTCCTTCAGCAAGGGGGTGGCTTTGCAGACACCGCTGCCCTTTGCCCCAAGATCCCACAGAGAAAGCGGGGGGACACCCAGCGCTCACGTCTCCATCTCCAGGCTGCAAAACGCTGCTGCTGGTGGGGGGACGTGGGGATGGCTCCCCCCACCCCCGGCCATCCATCACTTGGGAGAGGGCAAAGGAGGGACAGGCAGTAAAACGCCTTAGCTCTGCCTGCTAACAAGGGGAGTACTGCGGACCAGCGCCTGAGCATCATTAATCAGCAGAGAAGCCACACGGACACCTCGTACCTCTCCTCCCGCCCGCCTCGTCCTGCTGCAAGGACCAGTTCTCAATTATCTGGCACTGGGTATTAATTAACCAGGGTGCTGCCTGGGGCAGGGGGGTTCTGCTGGGAGAGGTGCGCTTGTCCCCCCAGCCTCAGCAGCTCCCCAAGGGGGACGTCAACCTACATGGCTTCCTACATCTAGCAGAGCATCCTTAGCCATGTTGGGTGAACCACGTGCTGCCTGGTCCACCTGCATCAACCAGTGCCCGCACCTCCATCGTGCCAGCCGACGGGCTCAGGGCCCAGCAGGGAAGGGGTGGGCAAGATGCTGCCATCCCCTTGCCTGCTTCGGGTACCGCTCCTCCAGCGACTCCTTCCACGCCTGACCGCCTGCACGTGAGCGCAACGGATGCCCAGGGGATGCTCTGCCCAGGACGGAGCTCAACATGCTCGCTCGGAGAAGTCTTCTGGACCTGAGCATCCACCGAAGGAAGCTGACCAGGCTGTAATGGCTGAAGCCCTCGTTAGGGAGAATACGAGCTCTGCTACGGCAAGCTGAGCTCTCAAAGTGAAGAATCTTCAGCTGTATACAGTAGATTTTCTTTAATGGACACATTACTTTAAACTAAGCCTTCGCCATCTGTTCCAGTCCCTAATTATCAATACAAAAACAAACGTCTACTCACAATTACACTCGTAACGAGTAAAGATGCCAGCAATTAGAATGCACCAGCATCCTCGCCGCCGAGCAGCGCATCCATCTGTGATGGCACTCGCGCGATCCAGGCAGGGAGGACTCGCTGCCATCCCGGGCTCCCCGCGCCCTCTCGGGCAAAGCGGTGCGAGATGCGGCCGGAGCCGATGCCTGCGGTGGGATAAGCCACGTCTCAGAGGGGAAAATAAGTTTTTTGGGGTAAGAGTAGCCAGGCACAGCGCAGGATCTGCGGTGTGAGCCTTCCTTTCGCAGCAGCTGATGCCGTCTTGCCAACCACACTTCCCAACAGGATTTAAGCCTCTTCCAGCAAAACCTTTCTGAACCACCCAAAACGAAGTGGAACTTATTTCCTGAAGTCTCCAGCCCAAAACCCGTGTTTTGGACCTCCCCAGTGTGGAGGGCTCCTGCCCATCGCACCAGGAGGTGGTATGACTTCTCCCTGGGTCTGGCTACGGGCAGAGAGAGATGGAGGCAATGAGGCCAACCCAACTCGATCACGTTTTTGGCATTGTCATCTGGAAAGAAAGTGATACAACTACAAATTTTCTGCTCAGAGAGGGCAGGAAGGAAACTTCTGCGAGTGCTGCGCTCTTCAATAGATGCCTCGGGGAGACGGTCCCTCTCCCACAGCAAGAAGCAGCAGCTCTCGCTCCTGCGAGGAGGTAACGGCAGGAACCCGCCTCAGGCACTCGAAAGCAAATGCTCGGGCATATGCAAGGAGACGCAGGCATGTCTAAGACGACCAAGAGGAAAAAAAGATAGAAATTAAGCAAAATAAGGAGAGAGGAGGCTTGATAACAACAGATGGGTAGAGGGAGATTTGGAAAGGATGCCAGCTGCTGGAAATAAGCCCCCCTGAGATGCATGGGGAGCGGAGAGGTGCGTGTCAGTAGCTGAACTTTCGGAGGGAGAGGGGAGACGGGAGGACAGCCGGGGAGCAAGGGGCAGGGTGCACGTGGCCGTGCGGGGCTCAGGTCCGAGGTCCGGAGGGGCAGAGGATGCTCCGCAGGTGGGATCAGAGTCTCATCCCAAT